CCTCCTTTGCACTCGCCGCTCCCTGAGGAGGCTTCACTGCCCACTCTGGTGCTGTGGTTCTCAATCCGTGTCACCCTGAGCCCTCGTGTTCCTTGGAGGTTCTTCTGAGGCAGCCAGGGGGGAGCAGGCAGGTGGGCTTCCAGGTCCCCTCCAGCTGCGTCAGTGAGAGCAACTCCACTGTTACCTGCTGTGTATATTAGAGAACCACGGAAGATTTTGTTTGGAATAAAAGTAGTTCATCTGCTTCACAAAAGAAACTTGAAAATCAGTTGTGCCATGGCGTTCACATCCTTTTGCAAGTTGCTTTCTCTCCTCGGTGGTATGCTTTGAAGTGTAATCATGTTAATATATACAGATAGAGTTCAATCATTGTAGCATAAACCAGAATATATTTGTTCCCCTGCTTTTGGATATTTAGATAGTTCCTCATTTTTCACCATGTCAAATAGTGCTTCAGTGGAGTGAGGGCATTTTCGATATGGACAATGGACAGTGCACTCTGAGCTGGACAGAGGGAAGGGACAGCAGGAGGGTACAGATGGCTAGTGAGAATGTGGGGGGCAGTGCAGTAGAGGACCAGAAGCTACGTGGACGTAATAGAGCCAGGGCCCCAAACAGTCAAAGTGGGTCTGAGCCAGAGGATCCAGAGGTAGCACACGTTTAGTGATGACAAGGCCCAAAGTATGACCAGGAGACTGGGCAGCTGAGGGTAGAAAGGAAGATAAATCAGTCAAAAACCAAGAGGCCCAGGTGATAGCTGGGTCATTTGCTGGATACTTTCATTTGCTCCTTCAGCCCCACTCCGCATCCTTCTCAGCCCTGCTCTTAACCCCAGAGGCTGATCTTTAAGTACCATATCAGTGCCCTTGCCCCCAACTGAGTGGCAGAGGGCCTGGACCCTGGAAGGAGAATGGAGCCAGAGGATTCATTCCGCAGCTGCTCCTGTCAAGGTTATGGCAGGCGGGCTGCATCCCTACCCCAAAAGCCACTGCGCCCCTCCACACAATTCATCTTTCTTTCTTTTTTATTGAAACATAATTATTTATACATAGTTGTGGGGTACAGAGTTGACTATGGGCATTTGTGCACAATATGTGGTGATCAAATCAGGATAATTAGTATATTCATCCTTGCAAAATGTAATCGATCTTTGTGTCAATTAACCAATTTCTTTCTAACCCCCCATCCTCTCCCCCTTTCCCACCTCTACTAACCACAGTTCTGTTCTCCCCTTTTGAAAGTTCAATGTATTATTGTGGTGGTTGTATCTTTCTTTCTTTTTATTTGTTTTTTTTTTTTAGCTCCCATTTATGAGTGAAGACATATGGTATTTCTCTTTCTGTACCTGGCTTATTTCACTTGACATAATTTTCTCCAAGCCCATCAATGTTGCTGCAAATGACAGAATTTCATTCTTTTTTACAGCTGAGTAGTATTCCGTTGTGTAAATAAACCTCATTTTCCTTATCCAGTCATCCATCAATGGACATGTAGGTTGGTTCCATATCCTGGCTGTTGTAAACAGAGCTGCGATAGACAAGGGAGTGCAGGTATCCCTTCAACATGATGATTTCCATTCCTTTGGGTATATACTCAGTAGTGGGATTGCTGGATCATACAGCAATTCTATCTGTAATTGTTTGAGGAACCTCCACACTGTTTTCCATAATAGCTGCACCAATTTACAGTCCCACGAACGGTGTAGGAAGGTTCCCCTTTCTCTACATCCTCACCAGCATTTGTTATTCTTTGTCATTTTGATAATAGCCAGTCTAACTGGGGTAAGATGGTATCTCAGTATGGTTTTGATTTCCATTTCCCTGATGACTAGTGATTGCGAGCATCTTTTCATGTACCTGTTGGCCATTTGTATGTCTTCCTTTGAGAAATGTCTATTAAGCTCCTTTCCAGTTACAGCAAATGTGCCCACCTCCTTGCTTTAAGTCCCGGATGGTAAAGCACCTTGCCTTGGGGTCCTGTGCTCGCATTGTTGGGTTTCCTCTGTGCAAAAAATCCTTTTATTGGCCTCTTTTCCTCTATTAGCCTGCTTACATGTGCCATCTCTTTCTTGCCTGATAGGCACAGACCAATCTCTTGGATACTGAAAGCACTGAAAACGATGACAGATGTAGAGATAGAGAGGAAACTAGCAAGCCAGGTGCTAAAACCTAGTGAGGGTCAGTGTCCGGAAGTTTACATAAAGTGAAATTATCTCACATTTCTGTAGTTCATCTGTGAGCTCCTTTAAAACCAAAATCCCTGCCTAAATTTTTTTGTGAATTCCTAGTGTTAGTACAATCTCTGGCATGAAGAAAGCACTTAAAAATTAAAATAAATTGAATAGGACTGAATTAAATTAAACTGAATTGAAATGAATTTTCCTGAATAAATGAGATGCTGATTTTGCACATTTTAAACATCATGGGTGTCCCCCTCTAACTCCATCCAGCATATGGTTTTTAAAAACTTCATGAATATCAAATAATAAATTAGATCAGAGACTGAGTTTCTGAAATGAAAAATGAATAATGAATGTTTGCTTCTATTAGCATCTCATAGAAAAATGTTAAGGTCATGTGATAAATTCAGACGCCCTAAAACTTTCAAGACCCACTTTCTTAATATTGTGAGCATTTTTGCTCTTGGGAAACTTCATGTTCTGTCTCCAAGGCAAAAAGCAGCTTACAGTACTTTCAGAACATGTAATTATTTATTTGAAAATAATTTTGATCGACACATATCTGTTACATTTCCTTGAATTAGAGTATTGAGTACAAACAAATTATAAAGTCTTTTTTGAATCTGGGTTTTAATTAATCCAAAATACTGTGTGTGAAGTCTTTGTAACAATATGAGGCAAACCTTTTCTGGCATCACGCAGTGATTGTTCTCAAATAGTGGATTGTAGAGGTAGTTAGTCAAGGGGGAAACCCAGAGTAAACTTGCATTTGGACTTTCTTTGGGGGAAAGGGAGGTTCCCTCTCTTTTTTCCTTTGTCCAGACACCAAACACATAATAGTTTGACTCTATCCCTGTGACTACCATCGTCTATCCATACATGAAGTTGCATTTTGGTATGCCCATTATTTGAAAAGCATTTCAAGTCAGAATTTAAGATTGGACCTTTCATGCCAAATCAAGGACAATGACTAATTTGGGGTTGCTGAAATCACTTATTAAATTCTTTATATTCCATAATAAGAAAAATTGTTGTTTTTTTTTTTTGTCTTTTTGTCTTTTTTCCGTGTCCGGCAACGGATCGCAACCCTCAGTGTTGCCCCCATACCGGACCGGGGACCGGCAACAGGATCGCAAGCCTCGGTGTTGCTCCCGCGCCTCGCTCAGCCAGTGAGCGGGAGCCGGTCTGTATATGGGATCCGAACCCTCGGACGGGAGCGCCGCCGCGCTTCCCAAGCGGCGCACTATCCAGTGCGCCACCGGGCCGGCCCCCAGAAAAATTGTTTTAAAGCAAAGGATATTATTAGCATTCGTGAATAAGAAATTTTGACTATTCCAACACAGCAAAAAAAGTTATTACCAACAATCTTGATTTGGAGTTGTCCCTATCATAAAACATCTAGAGCTCAACAGATTTTAACATGCGACAAATGAGGTGACGGTCTAGAGTTGAAGATTAGGCCTCCCATCCTAATTATAGCCTCAGAAATGCATTCAGCTGGTCATCAGAAGAGCAAGCGCTGCTTGGCCCGGACTAGAATGCTCTACTGGGATGACTTTATCTCCTCTGCCAGCTCCCATGGATGTGTCGTAGCCCCTGGAGGCTGAATCGGGGTGCTCTGGGGAGTGTGTTGGCATCAGTTAGTGATGTCTGTCGCCATGGGTGGGTGGGATGGGAGGGATAGAAGTATGCAGGACATGGTAGAAAAAGCAGAATTTGAAGTCAGAGTATCGAAGTCAGAGTCCCTCATTAGCTGCAAGATATCTTGGGCAAGTTACCCATTCAGTAATCTCAGTATTTTCATAAAATGAGAATGGTAAAAATTGGGAAGAAAATTAAAATTGATATCATAAATAGAAAAGAATTAAAGTATAGTTTAGATCTTAGTTGTTGCTAGTATGTTTTGCCTATCCCAATCTAGCATCTCCCTCCTTTAAACTCATGGTATTTTAGTGTCTCTGTCACTCTTTGGGCAGTTAATTGAGAATTACCTACCATCTCACACTAGTGTATGATGTTACTGTACTTCAGCAGATTTTCTCTTTTTGTACTGCCCACACTTCCTAGCCTGTGCCTCTCCTGTAGCAGACAATCTGTAAGTATCTGTTTATCAGATGAATAAAACTCCAAATGTTGGCAGAGAGATGAGTATTAACTTTATCTTCTTATTTGGAGGGATATATTTTGTATTTTATTTGAAAGAATTATTATTATTTTATGTTCATAGGATCAAGTATTTGGTTTGTTTAAGACTTTTAAATGGACTGTATTTTCAAGGAACTGAGTTGTTTTCTCATCTCCCATGCTTGGGCATCTCCCATGGGTGTTTGCAGAGGTTGCTGGCAAATGGTCTGGTGGGTGTGGCATGAGGGAGGGTCTGTACTTAAGTGGCTGAGGCTGCTGACAGCAGTGGGCAGGTCTCACTTTCTGGGCTGAGCAGTAGGTAGGCAGGCTCGCCCACATCCTTTGCACAGCACTGATGCTTCATTTATCTCCTCACTTCTTGTTATTTCTCCCCCACCCTCACCCCCTCCTTTGCTGACACTGGACTCAAAGGATCATAGACTTTTAAATGATTTATTTAGTGATGGGCCCTGGCCACAGCATCGAGCCATCTGGATTCAGCATCCAGTGTTCTCTGCACTGCTCAATGCTTTTAAAATCTCACTCTCCCAAGAATTGATTGCACTTCTGCATAAATCATTTCTTCCAGCTTGCTGGAAGGTTCCTTGGCTTTCTGCTTATCACTTCAAGGACAGTTCATTTGCTGTTGCTGCTGCAGAGCAAATAAACAACTTGTGTCTTCTTTCTGTGGTGACAGGCACATCTCATCGTGCTGAGTAGAAGCCCCTCTCAAGAGGAGGTCGCAGACTCTGCATGCTTCGTTGCCCGCGCTGCCATTGCTTCTGGGAGGCCCGAGCACCGTGGTAAGCACAAGCCCTCTCTCTTGTCCCACTCACCTCTGGGTGTACACACTTCGGATGGGTAAACGGGTGGGTGGAGTTGTGACGCAGGCCCTGCACAGGGCCTTCATTGTTTATCTGATCAGCTGTGGCCCTGCCACTCTGCTGGTCCACCCAATCCTTCGGCTTCTTTCCCCCTATAGCCTTCCTCTAATCCTTTACTCTTAACTATAACTAATCGTCATCCAAACATAGCTATGAAGAGCCCCAGAGAATCCATGCAGGGCTGACAGAGAAATCTGCTCTGCGTTCAGAGGTGATCTATTTTTAAAGCTTGTTGTGGAGCTACTGTGGCGACAGCACTGGGCTGTTGGCAAGCTGTCTCCAGGCTCTCTCAGGGCTGAGCTTGTACTCGGGATGAACTTACATGGCTTCAGGATCTCAAAAGGAAGTTGCCATTTATGGCTTATATGGTTTTTCTTACCCTGCGTAATAGGTAGAACAGCGAGCTTCTGGAATTTTTTAATCTACCATCCTGGGCTCAGAGCATACAGTGTGCTTCTATTGACAGAAAACACACATTCTGGTGATTTTTTTTTTGGTCAGAATATTCAGAAATGGAGTGTATTAGTCCGTTTTTGTTGCTTATAACAAAGTACACCGAACTGGGTGATTTATAAAGAAAATGAAATTTATTGCTTACAGTTTCTGAGGCTGGTAAGTCCAAAGTCCATCTGGTGGTGGCGACTGTGACCCAGGGGTATCACATTGCAAGATGGTGGAAGCAGAGAGAGCAGAGAGAAAGACAGTCTCTCCTCTTCATTTAAAGCCCTCAGAATCACGCCCTTGACTGCCATTTTTTAATCCATTCACTACTGTATGGTCCTACAATCCAGTCATCTCTTCAAGGCTCCACCTTTCAATTACCATAATAGGATTTCCCACCTTCTTAACAGTCACACTGGGGGCTAAGTTTCTAATACATAAAACTTGGAGATCACAATTCAAGTTCCAGTGAGTTTTGTGGAGACATAATTCAATCCACTACATGGAGTATAACTCATAAAGAAAACCTAGGGATGTATTCCAGGGTATCAGGTAAAAATGATTATGTACTGAGTAAAATGGGCTCCAATGTGCCAGAAAGCATAAAAGCAGTGTCTAGAAGGCTTGGGGTTGGTTCAGGAAGCAGGAAGCAGATTAAGATGAGGAGGACGGCATGTGGGAGAAGATGAAGGGAAATCCTGAATGAGAAGCCTGGTCTGAAAAGATCCAGGGGCCAGGCAGGGAGCACTGGTCCACAGAGGAGCCGACAGAGGGGGTACCAGTGTTCATCCATTGGCCCATCCCACCTTGCAGGTCCCTCATTCTGGCCTCCTAGAGCTGGGAGCACCTTTTCAGATCTGGAGGAACCTGTCTAGAGATGAGAGAAGAGGCAAGTGACCTTTCTGATCCTCCTTCCCTAAAACATTCCACACATAACAATCAGTTTTGCCTTCAAAACCTTCAAAAAGCCAACGTTTTACCAGCTTGTTGGTGCCTGTAATTCCATTAATAAAGAGCTGTCCATTCCACAGCTTATGTTATAAGCATTTATAATAAAATGCTTATAAGGCAAATATGCTTGATAGACACCCCTAAAGTAGTAGGAGTTACAAGTCCAAATGTCTACAGGAGTCAAGTGAGTAATGTGAGTGAAGCAGGCGGTTATTAGGAATCAGTAGCAGCAGCAAGCACAATTCTGAACAGCAGCAAGCTACAGCTGTAGCATAAGGAGACAGGACAGAGTGGTGAGGACTGTGGCACCCTAGAGAAGCCCTTACGTACCCTGCACTTAGCTCCAGCTCACTGCTGCCATGTGGGAGGTAGACTTAGACTGGCAGATCTTCTGATTTTTTAAGAGATGGCAGAAATTTGGATAATGTGCAGTCTCCAATTTTTAACTGATGCTAACTAACTCAAATATGCTTAAGGCTCTGAGTGAGGCAAAACAAGTGTGAGGGCTAAATCCATAACTTCTGACCTTGACAGCAGGAGTGTGGATCAGTGGTTGTCAGGTCCTTCCTGTTTCTCTGAGCATTTGAACCGGTGGAGTCTGGAGGAGGAAGCTCTATTCCTCAGAGAACACCAAACAGGAGGCTATAGCCAAAAGGCCATCTTTTTGCCTCGAGGGACTCTGGTTTCCAGCACCTCACCTAGTGCTCGGTGCACTCACTTGTTGAATGTATGAACTGGGTGGAGACCAGTAGAAATTGTGCCCTAAAATGTTTTTGTCCCATAGCTACAAGTTACGGCACTTTGCTGTGCATGATTTACAGAATCAGAGACAATCCAATCTGAATTATATATTTTTCAAAAAAAATTCCAGTCTGAATATGGCACCGGTATTGGCTGCTCTGTAAATTGAAAATGATAGTAATACCTACTTGATACAAATAACAATGTATGTGAGAATTAAATGACCTCAACAGTAATGATAGCTAATGCTTACATAGGACATACTGACCGTGGTTCTAACCATGCTAGAATTTTTATTTATTAGTTTAGTGACTCAGAGATTTATTAACTCAGAAATCCTCACAACTCTATGTGATAGGTACAATTATCCCCATTTGGGGGATGAAAAATCTGAGGCTCTGAGAGATTAGGTCCTTTTCCCCAAGGGCCATAGCCAGCGAGTGGTGGAGATTTGAAGCCGGGCAGCCATCCCCAGAGACTGTTTCCTCACTTACCCCTCCCCTCCCATGCCCGCCACAGAGTCCATGGAGTTTGAGGCAGACATGGGACACAGGAAGAGCTGAGGAAGCCTGTAGAGAGAAGGGCATGGAGTGCCAGTGGGGAGAGGACGGGCCAGCACCTTGGCGCCACCCTCTGCCCTGTAGCTCTTGTCACTGACAGGCCAGGCTCGGCTTGCCCCCTCACATTAAACAAATGACCTGAAAGTCCAAAAGTTGGTGCAAGGATTGGAAGGTTTATTCAGATTACCGGTACCCAACTAAATGTCTAACAAGCAAACAAACAAAGAGAAAAGAGGAGCAGTGGGGTCCAGTTTATCCTAGTCCCAGTCAGCGGGGCCAACTTGTATCAATTTTTATCAATTACTGACAGTAATTGATAAGAGCAGTTCTCCCCACTGTTGTCCGCATAAAGAAGAAAAGTATCAACTAGATTTAAATCAGAGAAACAAAGCATAGCCAGGAGCCCTCCAGGATGCACCTATACAGAACAGAAGAGGGCTCAGAAAATCAGAAACAAAGCGTAGCCAGGAGCCCTCCAGGGTGCACCTACATACAATCCAACCAATCAGCAGAAGAGGGCTCAGAAAATCAGAGAAAGGTAAAGAGATTTAAGCATTGCCTTGTCAGAATTTAGGCCAGGGACTCCAGGAGAGATCTACCAGCAGCCAAGACATGGGAGCAAAATAGTCCCAGTGGCCACTTGCCTCTTGCAGCTCGAGTCTTCTCTGGTGCCCAAAGCTTTCCAATATTTGCCAGCAATTAAATTAGGCTCTCAGATTCCAACGTCATAGAAATAAACACTGTATCCAGCAGTAAAGCAAGCAATGCTTTATTGAAAGAGGAGACAGACTTATGCATAAGGGGGGGGCAGCTCAGGGCATGTGGTAACCTGCACCCAGAAAGCCCACTTGCCAGTCAGGAGTGAAATATGCGAGAAATGGAAAAGTAAAAGGATAAGAAGACGGCTTCTCCCAGAAGCAGGGAGTTGGGACTGGTGGCTTCACAGATTAAGAAGGGGGGTGGCTTCTGCCTGAGTCCTGGAAGACTGGCTGCCTGAAGCATAGGCTGCAGAGGACTCAGGGACTGGGGACTCAGGGGAATGATAGTAATAACAATGACAACAATGACAATAGCAGCAGCAGTTGAGCACCTCTTGAATGCAGGTGCTGGTGCTTTCACAAACACGCTCATTTGATCCTTTTAAACAACTTGTGGAGGCAGGACCTGACACTTAACAACTAAGCTAACACGGCCAGCTCTTCCTACCAGGAAGTTCCCTCAGTGTAGAGAAACTTCTGTCTCTCTACTCATTGCTCTACCCAAAAAAGGACAAAGCCCCAATCAGTCTGTAGGATGCACCTAGGCAGGCCCTTCCCAGTTTCAGTACTACCAGCCAGAAGACACTTGAAACGCCTATCACCTTGATGCCGTGAGGAAGAAAGTGTACCGAGGCCTTAAAGGCGAACAAATGCTAAGTGAGGAGGTTGGGCAGAGAAGCAGAAGGATAGAAATAGATGCTGAATGTCCAGCAGCAGCATGAAGCCCTAGAACAGGTGCAGAAAGGGGCACACACCTCCACTCCTAAAGCCTCAAACAAATCAGCTAAACATGCAAGTCAAACTAATATAAGCAGGAAGAAACTTCAAACTGTTCCTACTGTGTAAACCTCGTTTGAAAATTGCTGCTCTCAGAATCCTTGTTCCATTGGTGGCAAATGTGGAGAAATGAGCCACCCAGGCCAGTGTGTTGAGATACAGACTCTGTTCCGACTCTTACCCGCAAGTGCCCAAGTGTGGTATGAGCAGAGCAGGTGCAGAATCAGCTTCCCTCCAGAAACAGGAATGAGACAGCTACCACCCAGCCAGGGGCTGTAGTGGGTGCCCTGGCAGACACAGTCCAGCCGTCTTTCATGTCTTCTCTCTGCTGTCCCCATCTCTTTCATGTCCTCTCTCTGCTGTCCCTACCTCTTTCATGTCCTCTTTACTGTACCCACCCACGGCTGAGGTTTCTCCAGGTCTCTGCTGCCTCCAGCAGGGAGAAGTTAAAGGGGGCAATTTGGAACTTATTGTTGTCTAACAACTAAGGGGAGGCCAAAGCCCCCATAGCTCTCACCCACACGGGACTTTGGCCAATTTTGGTCACTTCTAGTCCTGATGCCCTGGGAGCAAATCTGCTTCCAAGCACCAAGGGGAGATCTTAGCTCTGTTCTCCTGTGTTTAAACCAGTACAAAGACTTTTTGGGTTTTCTTTTTGTTTTTTGGAAAAAGAAAAAGAATCTTTAATGAG